GTGTATTGCCACTGTCAATTAGGATACTCAATGGTTTTCCTTGAATATTACCCTGAATTCTGAATGTATTATGGCCAATGCAGCCAGTAATAACATTCATAGAAATTTCCAGATTCTCCTTTTCTTGTTGTTGAAACTGCTCTGCATCAGTAGGACAAACTTCTACTGGAGAAGTGTCAACTTCTTCAGTAATCATATTTAACTGTTTGGTCTTACACTGATGACCTGGAATATATTTTTCACCACATTTTAAACAGAGACTGTTTTACCTTCTATAATCCATAAGATTTTGTTTTGGATTTGGTATAGAAGTAAGCTTTGTAGTTACTGGTAATGCAGTTGTCTTAGATGTAGTTATGGGGTTTAGGTAGGGTGGGACCTTAAAAGAAGGCCTGAATCTTCTATTTTCAAATTCTAATGACAGCTCATAAAGCTTGGTTTGTTTACATGCTTTAGATAAGTTCTTAGGGTCTAAAGCCTTGACCCTATGCTTAATATCATCTCTGAGTCCACTAATAAAAAGTGACACAAAAATTCTTCAGTCAAAGTAGGATTCTGTAGGAGCATATAAGGTTGTAGCTCTTCAAACTTCTCCTGATAATCCTCTACAGACCCTTTCTGTGTCAATTTAGTAAACTCCTCTACAATATCAGAAATTGATCTATCACTAAATCTGTGACAGATATCAGCTTCAAATGCATGCCATGTTACATGGTGTTTCTGCATTATATAACCATCAAACCATATTTCTGCTTTGCCTGTTAAATACATAATGGCTACCTCCACTCTCTGTTCCATAGGCACACTACAAATAGAAAATTTTTTCAAGCATTTCTGAATCCACCCTCTAGGATTAACCCCTTCAAAGAAAGGAAGTTCTATTTTAGGTCTGTGCCACATAGTTCCTGAACTGCTAAAGGAACCCCCTGTACCCTTTTTTTTAGCTTCCAACCTCAACATAATAGGTCTAGATTCACTGTTTTCACCTATTTGATTTTCAGGCCTAGAATTTTTCTTAAGAACTAAACAAGCATCAAGTTTAGTCTTTAATATCCCAGGTTCATCTGTTTTATAAGTGAATCTAGATTTGTCATTCACCGCAGTCACTAAAACAAGATTCTTCTCCTTATTTTTAGCAGTATAAGGAGATTGTACCTGTTCATCCGTAGAATGTTCTTGCTTTCTATTTTTGCCTGTCAGAATCTTTAGCAGTTCCTCCACATAACCTTGATTAGTAGCCATTCTAGACTCTAATGCAGTGATTCTATTCTCTTGAGTCTCCCACTATTTAGGTGGATTAGTTTCATCTTGCCCCTGTTTCACCAATACAACTAGGTCTTCAATCTGTTTTTGGATCCCAGATAAATTAGTTTTCGCCATAGATTGATTCTTCTTTGGCATGCCCACAAGAAATATTTTCCAGAATCGAAGCTCTGATTACCAATTTGTTATGGAATTAGAGAAATATAGTGAGATTCGAGAAGAGAAAGAGAGAATTTAGAGAAGAAATAACCATTCATTCATTGCATAAGGAATTTTTACAATCAGAGCTGGTATTATTTAGTTACATTAGCCATAGAATTCATGCCAGTTGTCCAAGCTTCATAACAACTAACTAACATAATGATTCTTCTATTTCTTTTCTTCTTCAGGTACTGGGCCTTCGGTCTTGGGCTGCTCCAGCATACAATTACCTCGCCTGGCCTGCTCCTCTGCTGTGGTAAGTTTCCCCGTGCATACCACATGATTTAATTCCCAATCCCTATCTTCAATCCCTAACCCTCGATCCTTATTTCCCAATTGTTCCTCAATGCTTTCTCGCCTCTCCTCTTCGATGCCTTCTCTTCCTTCTTCTTCTCCAACCATAACACAATAGCACGGGGCGGGCATTTACCGGAAGGAGTGGCGTACTGCATCTCACTCTCTGATCTAGAAGAACCAACTAATAATTTTACCAAAAAGATTGGCAAGGGAAGTTTTGGATCGGTCTACTATGGCAAAATGAAAGATGGAAAGGAGGTTGATGTCAAGACGATGAGCGATTCGTCTAGCCATTTGAATAAGCAATTTGTGACTGAGGTAGTATCCCATAATCCCATTTAACTAGGCTCTTTTAACTTTCTTGACAATGTTACTGAGTGCAGTCCACTTGGACGGATACATAATTAGTTTATTCTTGTTCTCGAAACTGGTACATATAGGTCGATACCACCAACATCGGTACTATGTGAATAACCTTGAATTTACCTCACACTACATGGTTGTGTATCGATGACTGATGCATGCTTTCAGGTTGCCATCTTATCAAGGATTCATCATAGAAACTTGGTTCCTCTAATTGGATACTGAGAAGAAGTTCATCAACAGATACAATTTTACGAATATATGCACGATGGAAGTTTGAGGGATCACATTCATGGTTTGCTTCTCTACCAAGAAATCGGTTCTGGTTATTGTCCATATTTCTCTTTTACAGAAGTCGAGTGTGGTTAAAATAATAACAACCCATGGACATTATGGCAGGTTCAGTCAACCAGAAACCGTTGGATTGGCTTACTCGATTACGGATTGCAGAAGATGCAGCTAAAGGTTTAGTATTGAAGTTCTTAATAATTGATGCAGAAACCGTTGGAACGAAATCTCTTTACAACGAACTTGGTTCTCTGTTCTTTACGTAAACATGGGAAACCTTGCCGGTTTCGTGATTACCGACGGATCCCAAGCATGTTTCGACATTGTTGAACGAAGTCATCGACGCTTAATTTGTCCAATCCAAATGAAATACTCTCTCATTTCCGCCTTGCATTCTTCCTCGTACTCCCCCCTGCAAGCTACTTCGGTAACGAAATTGTTGGGTCAAAACGAGTTGATGGATACAGATTGTTTGGGTTTGGGTTGACCCGGGTCAATTTGGACCTCGGTTGGTTCAGGCAATGGGTCTGTTGGACTTTTAGTTTGCTTGGGATTAAGATTTGAGATTTAAGATCTTATTCGTAGAAAGGTTGAATTTAGACTTAGATAATAAAGAAGATATAATGTTAAAAATATTTATAACATTTGATTAAATAACTATTTTAACTCTAATTCTTGTTTTAAAATAGTTTAACTCACCATGCTCCATTTTATAGTAAAAAGACCTCTAAAATTTGACTAAATTTTAGTCATTATTCTTTCTTTTTGAATATTTTAACCTGCACGAACCAACTTATCTTAGTGGTTAAAAGAATCGGTATTGTTCCTAGAAGTCACAGGTTTGAGCACCAGCATCTGCAACAAGGTGATTGAACATTCATTGTCAAATGGTTGAGAGTATTTAGAACTTATATTACTTTATAATCATTCGCTTAATAAAAAAGAAGAAGATTTTGACCCCTAATGTTTTATTTTGTAGTAAAAATGTTCCTATTTTTAGAGAATTAGCCAATAACCCTTTATTGAGCAACTATTTTCCTCTAAGAAGAGGTCTTTTTGTCGTAAAATATAATATTAGGTCAAACAAAATACTCTTAAAAACTAAAATGATTATTTAATTAAACGTTATAATATTTTTTACACTAATGTAATAAAGAAATGAGCTTGAGCTCAAATAAATTATATTGCAGTGAAAAAGCAAATTCACAGTTTAAATTTTGGGAATATTATAGACGGGAAAATTGAAAAATAAGGGTCTGAAAATTATTTTTAGATCTAAGACATTTGTTATAGTATACGTGAAATTCGTTATGAGAGTGACGAGTTTTATAAAATATATTAAAAAAATAAAACTCGTCATATGGACTTCTAGAAAATTGTATGGAATTTATCATGTCCTCGTGACGAGTTCTAATTATTTGTTATATTTTATGAAACTCGTCATTCCCTTGTGGGACTTTTTCGTGTACCGTAACAAATTACTTGAATTCCAAATTAATTCTGAAATACCCTATTTTTAAATTTTTTTCAGCCTGGATTGTTTAGTAAATAAAGTTACAAAATTCACCATAATTATTATTATCCGTTCGCCCAATTCAAAGGAAAATAAAACCATATAATTAAAAATAGAATTCCCCGCCTTAGGTATGATATTAATGTCTAAATAAATGAAGTGGTATATGGGTTAAATAATTTGAATTTTTTTTATTAATTATTTATTTTATTTATAGTTTATATTTTAAAATTTTATTTATGCTCAACGTATTTAATTATGTTATTAACATATTCAATCCCCTCAATAGTATTTCTAAATTACGTGGCCTAACAAATTGTATGAAAAAGCAAATAGTTGATAACACATTAATAATGGTAAGTGCATGCTTGATTAGGTATGGTAGTTAAAGGCTTGTCCAGCTTTGCTTTGTTCTTTGAGGGAAAATAGATAGTGACGTAGTCGTTGGTTGAAAATTACGTTGTTATTTTTTAAATGAGATATTGATATTATTTTTTTAAATGATTAGATGATTATACGATAATATTTATATATAATCTTTTTCAATTATCGATAACGCACATATCTCGTAAATATATTTATTTGAATTTAAAACTTTTAAGAAGAATAATATTTCTTTTAATCATTTAGATTGTTTGATATGATATTGTAATTATTCATGAAACTGACGGGCTGTGACTTGTGACTAAATTGTTGACAATTAAAGGCAGTTGAATAAAGTTGGGTTTAATTCATTCCATTTGCTCTTATAACATCGGTTGGTTTGGTTTTATTATTGAAAGCAACTGTTTTGCGAACAGTCGTACAATAATAATTTAAAATTCAAAATTTTTTAATTAATTTTTTTATTTTATTGATTATACACGTTTTAAAATTTTTCGTGCCCACCTTACGATATAAATTATTTTTATTTTATTGATTGTGTTTATCTTAAAATTTTATTTGTATTTATAAAAAAATTTATGTTATTAAGTATTTATGTTTATCATGAAAAATATTTTTGGATTCTTCACAACGATTATTTGAGTAACATATCATTATTTAAATCTCTATTCGATACTGCAAACCTGCAAAGGCTCTGCATCAACCACAACAACCAATGCAGCATCTATGGCTGTTTACCGTCTCATTTCTAGGTTTAATCTCTTTCCTCAACCACTCCTTTTCCCTTCTCAAATGGGTTTTCACCACAATTTTCAGAGCCCCCAAGGACCTCTCTAACTACGGTTCGTGGGCTATAGTCACCGGAGCCACCGACGGCATCGGCAAAGCCTTCGCCGACCAACTAGCTCGTCGAGGACTCAACCTCATACTCCTCAGTAGGAACCCAGACAAGCTCAAAACAGTTTCGACCGAAATCCAAGAAAAATTCCCGCTGATAAAGATCAAGGTGGTGGCCCATGACTTCTCCCGCGGAGATGCATCCGCCGCCGTGGGGTTGATAGAAGAGGCAGTGAAAGGGGTGGAAGTTGGGGTGTTGATTAACAACGTTGGGGTGACGTACCCGAAAGCCATGTATTTACATGAGGTGGGCGAGGAAGTGGTGAAGGGAATTATTAGGGTTAATTTGGAAGGGACGACATGGGTTAGCAGAGCGGTGCTGCTGGGGATGATAAGTAGGAAGCGCGGTGCGGTTGTTAACGTCGGCTCCGGTGCTTCCGTTGTTGTGCCTTCGCATCCTCTTTACACGATCTATGCCGCCACAAAAGCGTATGCCTGCCCCTTTTATTATGTTTCGTTTTTATTAATATGTTTTGATTTTAAATAAATATAAAAGTTATGTTCGTTTATCAATATATTACAGTTTTAAATATGAATATAATATAAAAATTAAACATATACACCCGAACTAATTTACCTCAATAATAAATGAATCGTTGTTATTTCTAGAAATTACAGATTCGAACATCAAACCAACAACTACAGCAGAGTAATTGAATATTCACTGTCAAATAATTGAAAATATTTAGAACATAAATCATATTATATTCAATATTACCCAACATAATCATTGGTATATATGATATGCAGGTACGTTGATCAATTATCGATATCTCTTTATGTGGAATATAAACCAAATGGGATTGACGTGCAATGCCAGGTATGACTTTCTTTCATGTAACAATTTACTGCTTAATTTTCATAAATAATGCACTAAAATATAGGAGTATTAAAGTTTAAAAACTGTAAAATAAAAATAAAAATAAAAATCCAAACTTCTTTACAAGACAGATAGTTCTTAAAATGGCTTACGAAAAATCAAATAGTAAGTAATTTTTCATAAAATACTAAAAAAATTGTTAACTAGAAAAATTAGTTATATTGATCAATCTATTTCCTACTAATTAAATATTAAAATAATAAAAAAAATATTTTCTAAAAAATCAATGGCAGTAAAACAAACAAAGAGATCCTCTTAATCTTAAAAAAAATGTAAGTAGTTTTCTTTTAGACATATACGTTTACTGTGGCAGGTGCCGTTATACGTGGCAACAAATTTAGCAAGCAAAGTAGCCTTAATCCATAAATCGTCGATGTTTGTGCCATCGCCGAAAGATTATGCGAAAGCCGCGATCCGCCAAATAGGATACGAAGCACGATGCACGCCCTACTGGTCTCATGCCCTTCAATGGTGTTTCACACGATTTCTACCCGATGCCCTCCTTGATGCTTGGCGTCTCTCCGTTGCCCTCCGAAGGCGGCCGGAGCAGCTTTTTACATAGTATTATTATTCTTAACATTTACCAGTAAAATGATTTATACATCTTTTAAGTCATTACAATATATCATTAATCTATCAACAACCAGTTGATCTAGTGGGATGAGACACTACATTTTTTAAGTAAGGTCAGGAGTTTGAATCATGACGTTTGTGAATTGAATAAACTGGGAGGATCTCCCTCGTCTCCACATTACATGATCTAGATTAGTCGATTAATAAATTGAATATCAATAATTAATTGAACAAAAAAAAAGAACACCTCTAATCTATAGGTCTTTTAAGTCATCAATAGTGGTGTTCATTCGGTTAAAACAGTGGCCGACCGAACCGAAATACTCTTAATCAAATTAACCAAAAAAAAATTTAACCGTTAATCGAACCGAACTTTTTTATGAAAGTATTAACCGAACCGAATAAATTTCGGTTAATTTTCGAATTAATCGAATTTCTTTAAAATTTTAGAATTTAATATATTTTAATTAAAAAACAATTTACAATATCTAATTAATTAAAATTGATTTGAGTTTTAAATGGGTTTTACATTTAATTTTGAGATTATTTTAATTAATTAAAATTAATTTGGGTTTTAAATAAATTGGGGGTTGGTTGGTGCATTGGGTCGACTGATAGGTTGAGTTATTTAATTATATATTTGTATTTAAAGGTTAATTCGATTAATTAACTGATTTCGAACCGAATTAACCGTTAACCGAATATAAAAAAATCGTTAACCATTCTCCGACCGAAATAGTTCGGTAGCCGACCAAATTAACCGAATTAATTCAGTTCGATCGGTTAATTCGATTAAAACCGAATTTTGAACACCCCTAGTCATCAACATGTATCTCGAACTCTCTTTGAGTCTCTGTCATAGGTTACAAAAGAACACATACTTCCCATATGGAGATGTTTAAAAATTGTCGTTAAATCCTGAGCCAACTTAAACTACACCATTAGCTGTTACTTTACCATACCGTAAAACCAAATCAGAGTAGCAATAAAACCGCGTTAAAGAAAATACAAAAATAAAATTACTAAAAAAGAATAGGATAATGAGGAACTAAAAGTGGACAAACGAAACCTGTCATTTTGTTTTCGAGCTCTTGAATGATCGGAGCTCTATTAAAAAATCTGAACAATTAAAGGTTGAAAAATACAGAAGAGAAAAGCATAGCTTGAAGCCGGATTGATTTAACTATGAAAATTATAGATTTAGGGTTCAGTTTGGCATTGCTTTTGAAAAATACATTTGAAAATTGATGTTATAAAATACTTTCTAAAGTGATTTTTAATTTTTTTTTGGTTACAACAAGACTAGACTAATTATGAATTATGATTATAACCACTGATTAGGGCATTCTGATCAGCAATAAGAATACTTCAAGCTTCCCTTGGAGGAATAGAAAAAACATAAGTGCTCATGTTCATTTGCCGTCCGAGCTTAACCATTATGTCGGCGAGTTGGTTAGTATTGCGAGGGACATAAACGAAGGTAAGGTGTCAATCTCGGTGAGCGTAATCCCGAATCCTCAGAACAAGAGGTCCTTCGAAGATTTGAGGGTTACTGTTAAGGATGGAAACAACTTCTTTATTGTCCAGTTCCACCTCAAGTTTACGAATGCCACAGTTCCAGGCAAGATGGATCACTTCCAGCACACCCCAAAGTTCGGCGTGGAAGATGGGAATTGACCAAGGTTTCTGCAATATCCGACAACCCAATCTCCATTGGCGTCTCGGAGAGTGCCACCGTAAGCAGCCTTCATCGTTGTAGGGTGAACGGTTCCATAAAAATTAAGTTTAAAAATTCCATTGATGAAAGGCTTCCACTGCGCATGCTTGACTATATTGGCGTTGGAGTCCGTTCTAGGTTGACTGGATTTGATGCACCTCGCCCAGGCCATAGCCTCATGAAGGAAAGACATTGCTGACCAGGCTTGGCCGTTGGAGACCATATTATTCCGATGCTTCCAAAGTTTCCAGATGAGAACTCCAAAAAGATGCCTCCAATGGTAATTGATGGTATTCATTCCTACATTACAACATAAATTAGATTGCAACCAATCATCAAGAAAGGAGGAAAAGAAAGTCGGATAGAGGTGGTATGATAAGATATAGTTCCAAAACATCCAAACATAGCGACAATCTCTCAAGATGTGAGTGATAGATTCCACCTCGGAGTTACAGAGAGGGCAACCGTTGTTGTTGGTGATACCCCGCCTCAACCTCTCAGCATTGGTCATCAGCCTATTATGGAGGGCAAGCCAAATAAATTGTCGAATGCGTTGTGGTCTATCAAACTCCCAAGCGAGGTTCCAAACTTTGATGCGAGGTTCTCGAGCATCTTGGTAAATCTAGTTGAAGGCGGTTTTGACTGTATACTGTTGGGAAATAAACCTAGAACAAGTAATTTTCCTATAATCAGATTAGTGAGAATGCGAAATAAAAGCAGAAAAATAATACCCGAAATTGATAACGGAGTTCAGCCAATTTGCTTACGTCTCTAGACTGCTGTAGATCTTTTACTAAGAGAGAAAATTTACAGGTGTTTACAAAACACTCACTACTCACAAGAAAGCTCTCTAGTATTGGGAGAAAAAAATGATTTTTTTGGGATGATTTTGAAGCTTAATGAGCTAGGGTATTTATAGTTGAATCTTAGGGACTAATCTTATAATTACCCTAAAATACAATGGCTAAATGTATGATTTAACCATTACCATTTTCAACACAAAAATTTCAACCTTTGAAATAAGCACCATTCGGTGCCTACCCTTTGTTTGAAAACGTGCATCTAGGCGGTGCCCCAATTCCCACCCTTTTTGACTTTTCCTCCAACAATCTCCCACTTGAAGACTGATTTTAATATGTCTTCATACCTCGATCAATGCAGCAACATTTCTAGTCTTGTTATTCTAGCATGCCAACTGAAGCTGAACACAACTTCAGTTTGTCCGTAGTCACCGTCTTTGTTAACATGTCTGCCAGATTTTGAGCTCCACTAATCTTTTCAAGTTTCAAAATCCTATATTCCAGAAGAGACTGGATAAAATGATATCTCAATTGTATGTGCTTCGTCCTGGAATAAAAAGACGGATTCTTCGCTACATGGATAACACTTTGACTGTCGCAATACAAGACATTATTTTCTTGTTTCTTGCCTAACTCTTCCAAGAAAATTTGGAGCCAAACCATCTCCTTGCTGGCTTCCGTAGCAGCGACATATTCTGCTTCAGTTGTGGAGAGAGCAACTATCTTCTGTAGTTGAGAAACCCAACTCACTGCAGTTCCTCCTAGGGTATAGACATACCCTGTAGTGCTTCTTCTGATGTCGACATTTCCGGTTAAGTCAGCATCTACATATCTTGTCAGTATCGTATCTCCACTTTTGAAACAAAGTGATTTGTTTGTAGTACCCCACAGATATCTGAGGATCCATTTGACAGCTTCCCAGTGTACCTTGCCTGGATTATTCATGTACATGCTAACAGTTCCCACTGCATGAGCAATATTTGGTCTAGTACAAACCATGGCATACATTAGACTTCTAATTGCTGAGGCATACGACACCTTCACCATGTATGCACGTTCTTCCTCCGTCTTTGGTGATTGTTCTTTGGAGAGTCTAAAATTAACACCTAAAGGTGTACTTACTGGTTTAGCATCTTGCATGTTGAATCTGGAGAGTACTTTGTTGATGTACTCAGCCAGTGATAACATCAAAGTCCCTGACTTTGTGTCTCTCTTAATCCTCATCCCAAGAATCTGCTTTACAGCACCCATATCCTTCATAGCAAACTGCTTCGACAATTTTTGCTTCAAGTTTATAATCTCTTGCATGTCTGAGCCTGCAACGAGCATGTCATCAACATACAATAATAAAATAATGAAGCTATTGTAGAACCTCTTGATGTAGCAACAATGATCTGCTTGACATCTGGTAAAACCACTGCTACTCATGAAGTTGTCGAACTTCTTATACCACTGTCTAGGAGCTTGTTTTAAACCATACAAGCTCTTCTTCAACCTGCATACCAGGTTTTTCTTGTCTTCTTTTATGCAGCCTTCTGGCTGCCTCATATAGATTTTTTCCTCCAAATCACCATGAAGGAAAGCTGTCTTTACATCTAACTGCTCAAGATGTAAATTCTCTACAGCTATAATTTTCAACACTAGTCTGATTGTAGACAGTTTTACAACTGGAGAGAAAATTTCATTGTAGTCAATACCTTCTTTTTGCTGAAAGCCTTTGACAACCAATCTTGCTTTGTAGCGTTTGCTCCTATCGTGCTCTTCTTTGATCATGTAAATTCACTTGTTATGAAGCGATTTCTTGCCTGGTGGTAATTCAGCTAATTCTCATGTCTGATTTGACATAAGCGAGTCCATCTTATATTTCATGGAAGACTTCCACTTGACGGAATCCTCCACTTGCATTACTTGATCATAGCACTCTGGTTCACCATTGTCAGTCAGCAACAAGTAGTGCAAAGAAGGAGAATACCGCTGGGTTGGTTTAGGAATTATGGAGGAGCGTCTTAGTTCCGGTGTGCCTGGTTCTTCTTGAACTATTTTAGGACTGATCTGAACATCATTTCCAAAAATCTCCTCGAACTCAGTAAATTCCTTTGTTTCAACTTCGGTGTTTGAGCTACTTGATTTTATGATTAATCTGTCTTTGTACATCACATTCTCATTGAAAATGACATCTCTATTTCTGATGATCTTTCGATTTTCATAGTCTCAAAACCGGTAACTGAACTCATCACCGCCATAACCAACAAAGGCATATTTGTTGGACTTAGCATCAAGTTTACTTCTTTCAGCAGAGTCTATGTGTACATAAGAAATACAACCAAACACTCTTAAGTGTGAAAGGTTTATTTCTTTCTTCCTCCAAACTTCCTCTTGTATTCCGCCATCTAAGGGAACTGAGGGCCCACGGTTGATCAGGTAAGTTGCAGTGTTGATAGCTTCTGTAACATCCTCTATGCCGGGTTAGTGATTAATTTGTAAAGTTTCAGCATTTGGTGATTTAAGTAGAATGATGGAAGAGTTCAATGACTTATTTGAGTTATTTTGTGTAGGATTGAATTATAAAGA